TTCTCGTGCTCGCGGACTTGGGGGGCTTTGCGTACAAAAGCCATTGGATGGAGTCCGGACCGATATCAAGGAATAAGCTGGAGTGCGTGCCATCATAAACGACTCGCCATTTTCTTCCACGCTTGATCTCGAAAAACCGGAAAACGTCGTGCACAGCTGCCTTTACACACAGAATAAAGTCGGGCCAAAACTGGGGGAGGCTGTCAATAGGGCAAAGGGATCTAAAGGTCTCGAAGTCCAAGTCGGACAAACCAGACAGCATAAGCTTCATGGGAACAAGTCCCTTTATATTCGCTATAAACTCAGACGGCTTTTGTCGAGAAAGTGGGGAAACATATAGATATGAATGCGTGGGATTTCCACGACAGGATCTGCAAGCGGTATGTCCGCACAGTGTGCAACTATATATTGAATCTCGAACCCCAGTCTGTCTCTCGCAGGAACAGCATAGAACACTGCTCACTGCCTTGGCTTTGAGAACAGCATGGTCGACGAGAGGGGCTTCGGCGACTTGGAGGTTGCTTCTCACGAGGCTGTGAACCTCGCTGGGAACGAGAAGGGGCTTGGCCTCCGCGTCGCCGGGGTTGATTGAGCCCTCCTCGCCGTCGTCGAGAATCTCATGCACGGCTATCAGACCAGCCAGCATGATTGCACACACGACCGTACTCGTCATTGCATTTCCTGCCATGTCCATCAAATCGGCTTGGGTTTCTCTCGTGAGTAGCATTCGATCGAGAGGAAGACCTTGCAACGAAAGAGCCTCCGTGCCAGAAACGGGGCCTCCGCGGGTGGTCACAAATGGGATGCCCTTTGGCGTCAGGCACCCCGCGATCCCGGACCCGGCAAGACTGTCATTCCCTCGATCGACTCCCTGAGACAAGTCGATCCAACGCCTGTAAAGCAAATAGTTAGTAAAATATTCCTGAAGTGAAAATGAAGTGAAAGTGAGGGAAGGCTGAAAAAACTTACTCCTTGAAGTTCATGTCATATTCCTGAAGTATCTTCTTCAAGAAATTCATATCCACGGTCTCCCACACTCTCTCCGGCTGTGTCTTCCAGAAACGATGCCAGTAGAAGTCCGGCGCCTTCAGGTCATTGACTCCGGGCAGGGATCGAGTGATTGGCCTCTCGATGCCTAGTTCCAGTTCGTCACGGTGCCGTTGGTGACGAATCTGGTACTGGTCCCAGCTCGTTTCGCTTCTGGACTCAAGGCGGGCTCTCGACTCGATGAGCTCGAGTCGGCGGTCGTCGTCACTCAGCAAGAACAACCCCACCGGCGCACTCGCTGGCCGCTTGAAACGACCAGCGAGCTCACGAATGCTTTGAGTGACAGTGTCAATGCCACTCTGGTCCATGGAGTCTCCAAGCAGGCCCGCTGCTTCCAAGCGGCGCTTGTCAATAACCACCATGTACCCGCGCTCGCGTGTCTGTGGGATGTAGTAATGCTTCGTGTCGACATTGACACAAACCGACATGTATCCGAGCTCCTCCCACTTTCCCTTCATCTGATCCCAGGGCGCATTCCGGACATTCTCCTGGACGACCATTCGGGGTCGATATCTCTCCGCATACCGCAAGAGACCGTCGAATGTAGCTCCCGACTCACCGCCTTGCTGCAGCGTCTTCTTGCGGTTGTTTAGCGGAGAGAAATCGACACAGGCAGTTCCAGCAACTAAGATGTCAAGGTCACCGGGAATCACTTCCGATGACCCATAGGCGGTCCGCGCCTCATCTCCTCCAAGCTCGGTGATGTCCCGAAAGAGGAGAGGGGGGCGGAAGTTCCGTTCAATGTATGATTGCTTGAACGGAACAATCTCGCAGCTGAAAGCGTGCGAGATCCGAAGTTGCTGGGTCTCTGCCAAACCTACAAAGATAATAATATTAGCAACTGCTTGAGGATCTTCCGGCAAGAACCAAGTAAGAGTGAGATAGATGAGATGGAAGGGGAGAATGAGATGAAAGCAAAATGAATGATATCTCAATACCAGGCTGAAGCCATTGTGACATAGAAGTCAGGGCAAAGTCAAGGTAAAGTTAGGGCAAGGAAGGAGACATGTGACTTGGAAGTCGGGGCCAGTGAGGAACCTCGACCACGGAACCAACAAGCAACACACAAGCAACATGAACACTGAAGACAAAAAATAAAGGACAGAGGGAAAAGAAAAGGCAAACGACGCTGCACTTACCCGTCTGAATCAATTCCAGGGCCAGAAGCGGGGCTTCCGTTCCTGAGCACATTGTCGCCACTCGAAGTGGTCGACTGCCGAGCCGAATGAGGACATGCTCGAATCCCATTTCTAGGGCCTTCGATGCCATGTCAGCGAATATTTCTGTCAGCGTATGCAGAGGCGGGAGGTCACTGGCTAGATACCGACCCCGAGGGATCATGCATCCCCGCCGCAGCTCAGGAATCTCATCGGCCCGGGCCCTAGGCTCCTGATCATCCATTGCCAAACCATCCGCCGACTGCTGCTGAGGAGAGACCCCCTTTGACGCCATGGCCTGCGTTGGTGGAGGGGGCGAGAAGTTTTGGGTAATCGGAGTTTAGATGACACTGGCAAGCCAGCCAAGAAGGAACACGCAGGAAAAACCTGGAAACAACCTCGATAAAAATCGAGGCGCTTACAAGATGACCTTCGTCACCGGCTCAGTCACGCACAAAGCACACGAAGCAGCAAAGAGAGCAGCAAGCAACGCAGCAACATGCAAAACAATGGGTGGAGCAGTGATTGCGTGAGAAGATCAGGAAAGGAGAAGAGAAGAAGAAAAGAAGAAGAGAGAGATCACAACAAGGGGAATATAAACCCAACACCCAGGCAACGATCCAAATCTAAGAAGGTAGGCGACGCGAATGGCCATCAATCACCCAGCTCTTCAGTGGTTCTCGCCCGATTCGGCGCGACGGCATGTGACGGTCACCAACAAGCGCTGAGATCTACACCCACGCTGAGATATACTGCTATGGGATGGTTATCAAGTTCTGTAGCTTTGATCTGATGAGCTGCAACAGGTCCCTGCGTGCGACAGCCACTCAGATCTGTGCTGAGATGTGCTGAGAAAGTATGCGCTGACCTATTTCATCTGGCCAATACATATGTAGTTGCGTGAGGTTGTCTAGTTTCTCACTGCTTGTTTCGTGCTTAAACTAACTTGGGTGACACGGATATGATGGTATAAACTACATAGGTAATAGGAATATTATAGCAAATGAATCATTCATAGGCATCGGTGTGTCAACGAGCTTATACGCCTATACTACAAAATATATTGATATCGATGCATACTCTGCGGGCTTGGAAATTGCAATCAATCCTATGAATGAAGCCGGTCTTGAGCGTGATTGATGGTGGTCTATTGACAGATTAGCAGTTACCATCGAACATTTGATATGATCTATAGGGTTTAGCAAAAATGGCATTATAGGAAGGCTTCCAACCATAGTAGAAAAGTGGGTAGGTAGTACCGATTGTGATTCTTGTCAATGTAGCTTTGTCAAGCTCACAAACGGTGTAGGTAACCTTCCAAGGTTGGAATGTTTCTTGTCACTAGCAAACGCACAAAATATGTCCACGGTCAAGGTACTGCCTTAGAGCTAGAGACTCTAAAAGGAAAGCAGGGTAGAGTTGGTAGAAATGAAAAAAAGAAATGCTAGAAGAATCAAGCTATCATTCTGCTAGTACTATTCTGAAGGTGGAGTTTAAAATTGGCCCGGTATGCAAATCAATGAAAAAAAAATTAAATTCGAGAACCCCTTTGCGCCATCCATTCGCCTAATACAGTGGCATAAGAAAAGGGAAACATAAAATAGTGGCCATGCTAGGCTTGCTCTTGACGAGCAAAGCCACAAAAAATCCGGATCCATAGATATTGCAGTATCAAAAGAAGTCAATACCCTACCGCATGCCGCTTTGCATCAATTGCTGGCGTAACAGCATGATTTGGCTTCTTTCCATGGGAGGCAAAGCATCAATAGCAGCTTGGGGCATGCTGAGGACTTGCTGAAGGAGCTCCTCCTGTCCGTGCATCGGGGCGGCAGGTTGAGCCGGGGGAGGGGCGAAAGGAGTGCCAGTGACAGGCGGTGTAGAGATCTGACCAGGCACACCATATTGCTGGAATTGTTGGGGGGTTTGCTGTTGGGCAACTTGGGGAGGCTGAGCGGCTTGTTCGACGATGGAACCAAGCAGCTGGTATTCGACCAGATTCATCAGGAGTAGGGCCTGGAAGACAGCATAGGCGAGCTGAGGCGCTTGGCGCAGCAGCTCAGTGGCACGCGCCGGATCAGCAACCGCGAGAGCTTTCATTTGTGTGAGAACATCAAGCAATTGATTAGGTGGGAGGGATGCGAGAGTATGGGAGATGGCGTTGGGGCAGTCGATTTGAGGCGGGAGTTCGACGCCTGGGGGGAGAGGAGGCAGCGGCGCCGAGCCTTGAATTGGTTGTTGCTGTGTGATGTCTTGGTTCATCATTTGTTGCGACTGCTGTGAGTAATCTGGGGGTACGGAATCCTTCTCGTTGTTGTGAGGCCAATCAACACGGATCTTGCGGCCCATGACTTCATGATCGTTGAGGTTGCGCACCGCCGAGGCGGCAGCGTCAGCATCCGCAAAATCTGCGAACCCATAACCTTTGGGCTTGCCGGTCTCGGGGTTCATCATCAATCGAAACTTGGTAACGGTACCGGCTGTGCTGAGGATGTCTTTGACTTGTTCCTCGGTAAGGTCTAGAGAACGATTAGAACGGCACAGGTTAGATAGATAGCTGCAGTAACATACTGTAGGGGATATTCCCCAGGAATACACTCTTTCCAGTCCGATCAGGCGCCATTATTGCGATAGGAAATGAAATGCGAGTGAGAAAGGTAAAAGAAGTCGAACCAAGCAAAGAGGCGTTGATTCTGCCCGACTTTCTCTCACCGCCTACAACCTCACCTCATCCGCTCAAGCATCAGACCAAGTCAGTCCTCATCCATCTCCAATCCCGTCCGTGCACTTCCTCACATCATGTCTCAAAATCAACGAGAGGCGTGGGAGCGCCTGCAAATTATGCTCTCCAAGCGCAAGGCCGGCTTCGGTGGTATGCCATCCGGTGGTGGCCGAGGAGGCATGGGACTTGTCGGAACTCTCATTCTGGCTGGTATTGGCACCTACGTCGCGTCAAATTCTCTCTTTAACGGTATGTTAGACCTATTTACACAATTAACCAAGCTTCTAACTAGTTTTAAGTGGATGGTGGTCACCGCGCTATCAAATATTCACGCTTAGGAGGTGTCCAAAAAGAAATCTACAATGAAGGTATGAAAACCAACTAGCCGGACAAAGGAGCTCTCTCACACATTTAAATGACTTTAGGAACCCATTTCCAAATCCCCTGGTTCGAAACACCGATCATCTACGATGTCCGTGCGAAGCCTCGCAGCATCCCTTCGCTCACTGGTACCAAGGACCTACAAATGGTGAACATCACCTGCCGAGTCCTGTCCAGACCCCGTGTCGATGCCCTGCCCCAGATTTACCGAACCCTGGGTCAAGACTTCGACGAGCGTGTTCTGCCCTCGATCGTCAATGAGGTGTTGAAGAGCGTTGTTGCTCAGTTCAACGCCAGCCAGTTGATCACACAGCGTGAGAACGTCGCCCGTTTGGTGCGGGAGAACCTGGCTCGTCGGGCTGCCCGATTCAACATTGCTCTGGACGATGTCTCCTTGACAGTACGTAGCTTTTCACCCCCCGCTCTAGCCCAACCAGGTCCTAACACAGTATCTCCACACAGCACTTGACATTCTCCCCCGAGTTCACGGCCGCAGTTGAGGCCAAGCAAGTCGCACAGCAAGATGCTCAGCGTGCTGCATTCATGGTCGACAAGGCCCGCCAAGAGAAGCAGGCCTTCATTGTCCGCGCACAGGGTGAGGCCCGCTCCGCCGAGCTTATTGGTGACGCCATCAAGAAGAGCAAGAGTTACATTGAGCTCCGGAAGATCGAAAATGCCCGTCAAGTTGCTCAGATTCTGCACGAGAGTGGCGGCAAGAACAAGCTCTACCTGGACAGCCAAGGATTGGGCCTGAATGTCAACGCCTCCAGCGAGGAAGGCAAATAAATTCATTCCGCTTGATACTTAATGGCGCTGCGAGGAGGAATGTGAATTATTGTACAAATAGCTGGATTACCAGGCAACTGAATGCGGACTCTTCTCTTTTTTTTCAAGGTTCCTTCAATCATAGTAAATCTTTATAAGTGGTGCCTGTAGACCTCCAGGGCGCATATATATTTTCTCCATGCGGGGACGAAAGGCGGCGAGACGATTTTTCCGATTCGGAGGGGCACCACTTTTGGTTTGATAACAATTCAACACATTTAACTGGCATTGACTAGCAAGTATCTCAGTTCATTCGTGAGTATTAGACGGAAACTTCAGTTAAACCTTTTTTTGGGAGGAAATAATTATTCGTGAAACCCCCACTAACAGCACTTAGATCATGCCCGAAGTCATGAACGATACCCCAGTGCACCTCACTGAGGTCGACATCGACCTTGACGTTCAAGAGATCCTCCTCGCTGCATCACAACATGACCAGTCCAAGCTGCGCCGTCTCCTCCGCACCCAGTCTCAGCTGCCCGATGCCGCAAACGTCAAAGACACCGAGACCGGCTTTTCACCTTTGCACGCCGCAATCGCCGCCTGCGAGCCCGATACAGAGACTGTCAGCACGAATGGTCAGACCACCTCAGACTCGAACCCTAAAGGCCTGGACGCCGAGACCCTGAAGTCAGGAGTGGAGACAGTCAAGTTTCTCCTACAGGAAGGCGCTATCTGGAACGAGCTCGACACGAACAACGAGACACCCGGCTGTATTGCGCGTCGAATTGGCGCTCTCGATCTATATGATTTGATCGTTGACGCAGGTGTTCGCGCAGAGTTACTGCTGAACCGCCTTGACGCATATGAAGAGCTATCCGACGACGAAGAGGAGGATGAGGAAGCCGAGGGCGAAACCGAAGCCGACACAGCACCGGAACTCGTCGATGCTGCCGCCGAACTCCCAGAAACTACAACCACAACCACCCCGGTCAACCCAGAAGTCTCCAACACGCAGTACCTGGAGTCGCGCCTGAACATCCAGAATGACCGGATCCTGGATGCAGACCAGAACGGCGTGATGATGCGCTGGGAAAGCGACATCATGCTTAAGTCTGCGAAGGCACTGCTCCCGACACCCGGGTTGAAAGTTCTGAACATCGGTCACGGGATGGGTATTGTGGACGGATTCTTCCAGGAACAAGGGCCGGCAGTGCACCACATTGTCGAGGCGCACGAGGAGGTCGTTGCGGAGATGAAGCGTCGCGGGTGGGATACTAAGCCCGGTGTTGTTATCCACCAGGGTCGCTGGCAGGATATTCTCCCTGGCCTTGTGGAGGCTGGGGAGACGTTCGATGCTATCTACTATGACACCTTTGCGGAGTCATATGCTGATTTCCGGGACTTCTTTTCTGAGCAAGTTATTGGGTTGTTGGAGCAGGAGGGTCGGTGGGGATTCTTTAATGGCATGGGTGCTGATCGTCAGATCTCATATGATGTCTACCAGAAGGTGGCGGAGATGGATCTCTTCGAGGCTGGGTTTGATGTGAAGTGGGAGGAGATTGCTGTACCCAAGCTGGATGGCGAATGGGAGGGTGTGCGCCGGGCTTACTGGGTTGTGGATGATTATAGATTGCCCCTGTGCAAGTTTATGGATTAAGGGAGATATTGGATGATGACTACGTGGGCATGAGATGTTGGGGAAAAAAAGGACATTGGATGTCTATGACTGAATGCGACGCTTGAAAATGCTATAGAATGGCTAAAAGGAACAATGTACAAATGATATCACAGCTGAATCAAATCCACCTCTGAGAAATCTGGAGGACTGCGACTGAAGATCGTCCGACACTTGCCATCTAGCGCCTGGTACTCATTGCTGATCCAGACATGTTTGCTAAATCGTTGTGTTCGGTACACTTCGTCATCACTTACGCCCAGATCATCACGCGGAATCCAGATGACAGGTCGCTTGGCGCGAAGGGCCTCGTGCAGGAAGGCACGTTGCACCAGCTGGTCACGCTCATCGGGCGTGAGATCCTCCAATTCATCGTGGATGCCAGCAAAGAGGGCTTGGCCAACTGTGTTGGGACCTGGTCCCTGGGCCTCGGTGTCTTGAGCCATCTTTTCCCGCATATTCTGTAGTGTTGGCGTGGAAGGTGTTGAGTTTTGACCGAAATATTTAGATTTCTGATTTGGTGAATTAGAGACCCACGATGGACGCTTGCCTACAGGCTTGGGTGTTGGTGTTGACAAGAAATCGGAATTATGTCGCTTCTGGTCTGGGAAATTGGTTTCCAGAGGTTTCAGCTCGATGTCTTCCTGTATCTCCTTATTGTGCTGGCGCTCTTGATGTTCACGCTTAGAGAGGGCGTGTTCAATATCACCATCCTCGTTATCTTCATCCTCATCGTCAAGAGCGAGACCGAGGCGAGCGTGCTGAGCCCGACGGAACTCATCATCACGTCGAAGAGCATCCTCTTCCAAGGTGATGGGAAGATATCGAATCAGTGGACTAAACGCTTCGTTGAGAAGAATTTGGTAACCGGCCGTTAGGACTAGAACGACGATCATGCAAATAGCCTGTCCCTCGCAGGCGACATCGTCATTCTCGTCACGAACCAAGAAGAACAAGCCAATCAGGCAGACTTCCATAACGTAAATTCCGGTGAATAGCTGATTAATAGCTCGAGGGAAGAGAAGGCCACCGGTGTCAAAACGGAACTTGGTGACATAGAGTGTGTTATAACGATAGACGAACCAGAACAGGCCAAAGGTAATAACGTTGAAAACCAGAATCAGAGGTGCAATCACAGAGTATATCAAACCTTAGAAAATGTTAATCAATGAATTCAATTAAAGACGAGACATGGCAACTTACCAATAGAGGCCAGGGTGGTATAGACAGGGAAGAATGTGCCCCATTGCATCTGATTGAGGTTCGTTGTTCGTGCCCACTTCTTCCGGGCAGTAGAATCCAGAATTGGGGCTAAGATGAACCAGCTCACCAGGCCAAATATTTGCACAAGAGCGCCGGCGCTCACAGACATTGCTTGTAGAATCATGTAAGAGAAGAAGTAGTTACTAGACTTCGGAATGTTCACTGCTAGGAGTTGAGGCCAGCTGGCCACATCAGTGACATTCTCAATGATTGTCGAGAAACTGGAAGCGATAGTGACGACCAGGAACAGCTGCACAAAGAGGAAGGCAAAGTAATAGTTTTGGACAGTGAGCTCGATGGACATGCCAGTGAAGAGGCCTTGCGTGCGGCTCAAGAAGCGAAGGATGAGAGGGAGCAGTGCCATCAGAATGGCCAAACACAGCGCAGGAAGAATACCCTGGATGGCTGAAATAAACCAGTCTGGTAGCTTGCCAAGCCAGGCCAGCCACGGGAATGCACCCTCCAGATACGCCAATTGGGACAGAAGTCCGGTAAACGCAACAGGGAACGCCCATCCAACGACCATTGCACAAACTAATGTGATGATTCCGAAGGCACGTAGGTATCGTTCCCACCATTTGATCGACATGTTATCCCAAATAACATCATCAGGGGAGATTTCCACGACTCGGGGTGCCATCTGTTTGGGGAGATGGTGACTAACAGATTGACAGGCCATGTGGGCGGCGACTTGGTGATTGAATTGAATGAAGGCCGAGTTCATCAAAGGGAACCGCTCAGGGTGTTGCTGGTCGATTTCGATCTCCAGATTCAGACGAGCGAGCTCCTTTCGACAATAATCGATGGTGTCAACCTTTTTGCCTATAAGCCAAAGCGAAGGCATCCAACTCCAACCAAATATGGGTAGACGCATGGTATCTCGGTCCTTGGGCCGAACATATTGTTTCCACAGTGGCTCTCCGTAGTCTTCATTCTCGAAATTTTCATTATAGGATATGGGGTATTCTTCCCCTTTCATTTTGGCCCCCTCCTTTCGACCATGTCTGTGTTTTTCGTTCTTTTCGGGTTTGTTGAAGCCACGAGGCGATGGAACAGTTGCAGGCGTTTCAGGTGCAGTCAGTGGATACTCGTCAGTCTCGCGCACACCCTGCGATTTTGTATGAGACGACATTCGTTTCCAGAATGATGGCTTCGACGGAGTCGTTGGGTCACGGCGCATGGTGTCACTCTGTCTTGCATCCTGTCCTGCATCAGGTCCTATTCTCTGACCTAAGTTCAGACTTAAGTGTTGACTTCGCCGCAGCCCTACAGGTTTGGCGGGGTTTGTAGCAGACGGGCTGCTAGGGGCAAGAGGATCTGGGACTGGAGGAGTGTTTGCATGGGGCGGGAGCATGTCTGTAGTTGCAGAATCATCGGGGCCTGGGAGAGTATGTGAAAGAGGCGGGAGGATATCTGTAGTTGCAGAATGATCGGGCCCTGGGGGAGTATGTAAACGAGGCGGAGGAATGTCTGTGGTTGCAGAACGATCGGAGGTGGGGGGGATATGTGAACGAGGCGGGATGATGTTGTCGGTAGTGGCAACGAAGCCACCGGTTCGAGACAAGGGCTTCTCGAAGCCCTGCTCAACCTTCTTGAAACCCCCAAGCACTGTCTTTCCCAATTTTCCCACCCCTTGGCCAACCGCCCCAGCGGCGGCGAAGGCAGGGTCAAAGACTCGTCGAGGTCCGTCCTGCAACCGTTTCTCTTGTGGGCCTTCCGGTTGTCCATGGAGCATTTCTTGTACAGTGTGGGCCTGATAAGGATTACCAGAGCTGATACCAGGACCCATGGCCATTTGTGACGCCCGTTTGTCGGCCGCCTTTTGCTCTTGTTTCTCTACACTTGACTGGCTCTTGCCGGCCTTCTTTGCCTCCATCTTGGCATTTTTGAGCTGTGCCTTTTTGCATTTCACAATTAGATCCGTCTCGGCACTCTCGAGCTTGAGAGCCAGATCGTTTCGTGCTTTGACTTTCTCGTTCAAGTCATCAAAGTTGCGATTGAGCCAGACGTTTCGCACGCCCCCAGGGAAAACATCGAAAAGCCTATCAAGGGCATCTGTATTGAGCCAATCAGGCGGGATAGAAGTAACCAGCACGGTGGTGGCAGAAGCACGAAGTCGATGCTGGGGAGATGTTAAGTAGGCCTGTCGCAGACGAATGTAATTCCGAAGTTCATCAAAGAATACAGCACAGACATAGACAATAGCAACCACGGCCATTATTAAATGAGCCCAGTACCGACTCGTATGCTCGGGGGTTACATTACCCCATGCTAACTGATCCAGACCACTGACGGTATACGTAACGCCCGAGGTACCATGCTCGTATTTGTGGTCCCTACCGCCAACTTTGTTGATTGGGAGTAGAACTGGCAAGATCACGAGTCCTAGAGGAACGAAGATCTTCAGGAGCATGCGCAGATAGCGCAGGAAGAAGTATGCATCTAGCCCACATTTCTGAATGAATTCCGAGCTGGAAGTACGAAAGACTGGGACAATCCAACGCAAGAGACCTGGAGGTGATGGAGTTGTCCGTTCTCTATCTGGTACCAAATAGGTTCGCGGTTGACTGGATATCAATTTTGGTCAGTTCAATGTTCCCATTTTCCTACCCGCAGAGCTTTCAGGGGGCTTACTATATACGACTTAGTTTACCCTTTAGTAACAGAAAGAGGAGAAATTCAACGACGAAAACAACGATGGCCGTCGCCAGCGACGCCAGGAAAGTTGATATTGAGACACCTTCAGAGGTTCGACCGTTACCACCGGTGTGTTCCAGCGCCTCCTCCAAACCCGAAGGCATGGCGATCAGCTCGGATATTGCCGAGGGAAACTCAGAGATAGAAAATGGGGAACCTAGGACGCTAGAAGGGGTATAGATGAAGTTGTCGCCGCAAGAAGCATCACGAGATTTAGTGGTAGGCACCGATGGATGTTGAAATTAATCGGCCGTAGACCGACGATTTGAATAAGAAAGAGCTCGGTGATAAGGGAAAAAAATTCACAAAGAGAGTCCACTTGAGGAGACTTTGTAGGGCGCCAACTTGATCAGTTGTGGGGGACGAGAGCCAATGATGTCAAATTTTGTCTTGGTTAATATCTTGATTAATGAGGCGAGTGGCGCGAGGACTGAGCTCGCAGATGGAATTTGTTGACGAACAGGGGGTGATTGGAGGAATCGTGGGAGCGCCGATCGAGAGTACAATGACATCAGGCGCTAGATGAAACCGCCAAACAAGTCACGGCTTTAGATAGAATTTTAGTGAAAGAAGACAAATATTGCTTTGTCTAACTTAGCGCCTAAGAGTTTCATAGACTATATTTATAGAGATATTTCTTACCAAATTAGTACCCCTTTTTTCCACCATGTTAATAGACAATGGACTCCATACACGAATGCCTACTGTAGTAGTATTGAAGCTTTTGGGTGAGGGAAAGGGGAAAGAGCGGTGATTGGCCCCTGGGTTGAATGTGTGGCAGTGCATTATGTAATAAATAACACACAGCCACAAAAGCCAGGAACTGGTGGCTGGAGATAACACGTCGACCCAAAGAGGTAACCACTTAACGCGTCCGTCGCGTCCAAGGTGGCAGAAATCCACGTTCCGCCCACAGCTTTTTGCTCTCCCTTTCTTCACTTGTATCCCATACCATCACCAACCCACCTGACCTTCGTCTGGTATCAACACATAAATTCATATACACCATGTCGTCACCAACACAAAGACGGAGGGGTCGCTCCTCCAAAAATTCAACTGCATCGCCTAGTTCTTCGTCCCGACAGGAGCCCCCTAGCAGCCCGAATTTTCAAGCCACGCCCCGTGCTTCGAGACGTCTAATGGCCGAGGGAGTCGCACCTTCTTCGTCCCCCATTTTTTTCCAATCATCTCCGACCAAGGGAGGTAATAATGCAGAGACTCCGGATGAAGGCATGGCAGATGCCAGTTCAACAGTAGACGATGGCGACAGAACCCCGCGAGGCAATCCCAGTGTGAGAGGTATGAATTTTATTTTAGCAGAGCCGCACCTTTTTTTCTTTTATATAAATCCCTGACCGCCCACCAGACTCTTCTCCTATTCACTATATCCCAAGTTCTAGCCCAACTCGAGGCTTCGGTCGGTCTGATATCCGTTCCGACATCCGCTCCGATGCATTGAGCACCGCCAGCAGCGGGTTATTTGTGTCGCCCGGAGGCCAGGGCCGACGGGGAGGTCCTCGTCGCAGCGATTTGCACTCCGGTGGCTTTGGGTCTACTCCCAATCGCCGTAACCGTGTGTTCGTGGACGCCAATGGAATTCCCACGGGTGATACCATGCCTCGCTCCGATGCTACATTCTCGAATATCAACCCTGGGACCTCTGAGGCCGAGGCCATGGCCGGAAACTCCACTCGTGTGATCTGGGGTACCAACATCTCGATCCAGGATTCAATGTCGGCATTCAAGAACTTCCTGTATAATTTCGCCACAAAATACCGCCTCTGGGCTGACGGTGCCTCCGAGGATGAAACTAGACTTATGGGAGAATTAGCAGAGAGACATGAGTGCATCACCATGTGTAACAACATGCGACGACTTGGTGTGACCACATTCAATCTTGATGCTGCTAACCTGAAGTCATACCCATTGACTCGCAAGTTGTGGCACCAACTTTCCGCATATCCACAAGAAATTATCCCTCTGATGGACCAGGCCTTGAAGGATGTGATGGTGGATCTAGCCCTCAAAGAAATGGACGTTCTTCGATCAGAGAGCCAGCGCGCTGCTCAGCCTCGTGACCGACGTGGCCAGCCCATCCTCACCTCGGATAATGTGATCCCGACCGTCGATGTGCCAGATCTAGTTGGTGAAGTGGAGGCCATGACCTTCAAGGTGCTCCCCTTCGGTCTGGACCAGACCGTAAACATGCGTGATCTTGATCCAGCTGATATGGATAAGCTGGTTAGCATCAAGGGCTTGGTCATTCGTTCTACTCCCATTATCCCCGATATGAAAGAGGCATTCTTCCGGTGCAGCGCCTGCAGCTATGGTGTTCAAGTCGACATTGATCGTGGTAGAATTTCCGAGCCAACAGTCTGCCCTCGAGACTCTTGCAAAGAGAAGAACTCAATGCAGCTCCTTCACAACCGTTGCTCATTCTCTGACAAGCAAGTCATCAAGCTCCAGGAGACACCGGACAACATTCCTGATGGTCAGACTCCTCACTCGGTATCTTTGTGTGTCTATGATGAGCTAGTCGATGTTTGCAAGGCTGGTGACCGTGTGGTGGTGACTGGTATCTTCCGGTGCAACCCCATGCGTGTCAGTGCTCGTCAACGCTCGCAGAAGTCCCTCTTCAAGACGTACATCGATGTTCTCCATGTACAGAAGTTTGACCGTAAGAAGATGGGCATTGACATGTCCACAGTTGAGCAAGAAATGTCCGAGCAGGCAGCAGAGGCAGATCAGGCACGCAAAGTCTCAGCTGAAGAAGAAGAAAAGATCAAGCGGACTGCCTCTCGTCCAGACATCTACGATCTGCTGTCTCGTTCCCTGGCTCCCAGCATCTATGAGATGGACGACGTGAAGAAGGGTATCTTGCTACAGATGTTTGGAGGCACTAACAAGACCTTCCAAAAGGGAGGTAACCCACGCTACCGTGGGGACATTAACGTTCTTCTGTGTGGTGACCCCTCGACCTCCAAGTCCCAACTACTGCGATATGTTCACAAGATCGCCCCGCGCGGTGTCTACACCAGTGGTAAGGGTTCGTCAGCTGTTGGTTTGACTGCCTACGTGACCCGTGACCCAGAGACTCGCCAAATGGTTCTGGAATCCGGCGCCTTGGTTCTGTCTGATGGTGGTGTTTGCTGTATTGATGAGTTTGACAAGATGAACGACTCCACGCGCTCCGTCCTTCACGAAGTCATGGAACAGCAGACCGTCTCTATCGCTAAGGCTGGTATCATTACTACCCTGAATGCCCGAACATCCATCCTGGCCTCTGCCAACCCCATCGGCAGTCGGTACAACCCTAAGCTCGCTGTTCCGCAGAACATCGATCTCCCACCTACCCTGCTCTCCCGTTTCGATCTGGTATACCTGGTCCTTGATCGTGTCGACGAGACGGAAGATCGTCGCCTGGCCAAGCATTTGGTCGGCATGTATCTAGAGGATACCCCTGAGAATGCCAGCTCACAGGAGATTCTAGTGAGTACTCTTTCCTGTGCGATCAACTAGAGGTATTTCTAACCTGTTCTACCTAGCCTATCGAATTCCTCACAGCCTACATTACATACGCCAAGACCAACTGCCACCCTGTAATCACCCCAGCTGCCGGTGCTGCACTCACCGATGCCTACGTGGCTATGCGCCAGCTAGGTGATGATATCCGCGCCCAAGAGCGCCGCATCACTGCCACCACTCGACAGCTGGAATCGATGATCCGACTTTCCGAGGCGCACGCACGCATGCGTCTGTCCCCCGAGGTCACCGTCGGCGATGTCGAGGAAGCCGTGCGTCTCATCCGCTCCGCCATCAAGCAGGCTGCCACGGATGCCCGAACCGGTCTCATCGATATGGGCCTTCTGACTGAAGGCAGCAGTGCCGCCGACCGTCGTCTTCGCGACGACCTGAAGAAGGCGGTGCTGTCCCGCCTTGATGAACGTGGCGGAGTGTCTGGTGGTGCAGTCCGCTGGACTGACCTGTATCGCGATGTGAGCGAGCAGAGCGACAACAAACTCGACCACAACCAGTTCGGCGATGCGGTGCGCTCGCTAGAGACAGAGGGCTCAGTGAATGTCTTCGGTGAGGGTGCTCGTCGCAGTATTCGCCGGGCGGCCATGAGCATGTCCTAGATGGCTGCGATGATACCATGATGTGATGACGGATTAGGCTGCATGTCATCTCTGACTGAGGGTGTTCTGGGCGTTGATTGTTTTTTATGGATAATGCTATGGGATTCAGAACAATTGTATATTGTAAATTTGAGCATAATATTTTCGAATATTCCACGGATTTCCCCAAGTACAATGTAGTTTTTCAAGGATGTTCAGAGCTCTAGACTTAAGACATGAAAATTGAGAAATCACATGCATTTCCAGTGCTAGAACGCAAACAATGTCCCGAGTGGGGCGATTGGTTTTTGCAGAGGACTTTTTCTTGATCCCTGTTCAGTGTGTAATAAGCATTGAGAGCCAAGAATAAATTGGAACGTGGCTATATTTCTTAATGGAATAATAAAGAATAATATACAAGAATAGAATTGTAATATAAGAGACGGAGTACTCCGTACATAGTAACTATATCTGTATCGCTGTACGGAGTAAATGATAGTGGATCTAACAGAGAAGAGAAGCAGAGACACAGAGATATGCCCACGTGCGCCCGTGACTGGTCAAATAGTCAACGTCACCAAGGGGTGGAGGTATGGGGAATACAATTTTACCATACCAAAATTACCAATCGCCATCTAGATCGCCATGAACATTCTTACTATAATCACCAATATATAGCTATTTAATAGAGATTTCAAACAAATATTCTTATAGAACATATTCATTGCCATCTTCTAAACCACCTAGCAACTCAAACTACCCCAATTGAAATGATATATAGCCATATTATATCACCTCGATTATTAGCACCCACCCACTTTAATGACAGGATGGGGCCGTCACCCGCTAGTCATCGAGCTAGCCAAGTTCGGGAGGGTCCATTATACCTCTTGGGCCTTTTGTTCGGAGAGCTCAACCCTCCGATGTTGGCTCCCCTTGCCTCCCCGGGTTATTTTTCTTTCTCTTTCTCTTCCTCGTCATGAGCTTGG